GGGGGGGGGGGGGGGGTGTCCCGGTGTGCCACTGGCTGTTCAGGCATTTTCCCGCGATTTTGCTCCCCATTCAAGACACACGGGGCTCTATTAGTCCCACATACATCTCCGTGCTCTTCGTCCTCTGCTCGAGCCATTCAGGACATGACCTGGTGTTGTTGTTGCAATCAACACCTACGGTCTACAAGAGCTGTTCGAGGATTCATGGCGAAGGCCATCGTCAGATTCCTCTACACCCCCGCATGCCGCAATCGCGCCTTGCTGACAAGGAAGCACCGCGCGGAAAACCAGCCCCGAGTAGCGGATGGGCGCTGAGTGGAAGGGTTGCTACATGGCACAGGACACACGCTTAGTGAGCCTTAGTCGGGGTGGCTGTCGTGGCCCTCTCTGGTTTACGATCTACACGTTTTGATGCAAAGTTGGGGAGCTGCTGCGCGTCCGCTCTCCTCTCTCTCTCGATATATATATATATATATATCTCGCCCTGTCCCTCTATGTCTGTCTGTCTCTGCGTCTGTCTGTCTTGTTCTATCTATCTCTCCTCTTGTCTCTGTCTGTCTCTGTCTCTGTCTGTCGTATGCCTGTCTTTTGCCTGTCTCTATCTCTCTTTCTCCGGTTGCTCTTCCACGACGCCATCCCCACTCGAGCTCACCCTCAGGAAGTCCCCCGTCAGCTTCATCTCAATATCCATGAAGATGACATGGTGCATCGGGTTAAGGTCGCTCCAGGCTCTGATCTCTTCGAGGCAAGACAGTAGGCAGTGGCACGATGACAGGGCGTCCACCACAGAAATGTGGTACACGAACCACCTGTTGTCGGGAAAGGAGCGAGGCCGCCAATATTTGTATAATCATTGGTCTGGAAAGGGGGTAGTCACCGGCACATTAGGTTCGTAGCGAAGCACGACCATAACCGACAGCCGTTTTTTGAAGACGCAGAGTAGTCGCAAAGTTGGTTGGACTGTGGGAAACTGCAGTTGATCGAGGTTCTCGACAATGAAAACAAAACATCCCCGTGGGCATAAATGAAAGTCGTTTGAGCGTGCTCGTTCTAACTCCCCGGATACATGCTCCCAGCGGCATTGCGAAACATGTCAGCTTGACGTGGTACTATCGGCAGGGGCAGAAGGTTGCAGGGTAGGCGAGATGTGTGCCAGCTGACCAGAAATTCTGGCAGGCACAGAGAGAGAGAAAGAGAGAGAGAAAGATAGATAGATAGATAGATAGATAGATAGATAGAGAGAGAGAGAGAGAGAGAGA